CTGAGCCAACTGAACTGCAACATCTAAATTTGTTAGGTGAAACTTGGTGAAGTTTTAACTACATTACAGTTGTTTCAAGGAGCAAAGCTGTTTGTCTACTTGACTGTAGGATGAGATTAGTGGGTTCCTTTCAGTAGTTTTGTTAAAAGCTTTGCATTTTTATTGTTTTAGGTATATGGTTATGTGAAATTATGTAAATCTGGTTTGAGTATTGCTTAGAATAAAGAAAGGCGGAGAGACAGCAAGTTAGCACACAAAGTAAGTTAGAAATAAATGCAAACTCTTGGAACTGGTACCCAGAGTTGCTGTAGCCTGTGTCATATCATAGTCTTTTCTAACAGAAATACACACATTTTAAATACATAAGAGTGGGATTCATAGAATCATAGAATAGTTAGGGTTAGAAAGGACCTTAAGATCATCTAGTTCTAACCCCCCTGCCATGGGCAGGGACACCTTACGCTAAATCATATCACCCAAGGCTTCGTCCAACCTGGTCTTGAACACTGCCAGGGATGGAGCATTCACAACCTCCCTGGGCAACCCGTTCCAGTGCCTCACCACCCTCACAGGAAAGAATTTCCTCCTTATAGCCAATCTAAACTTCCCCTGTTTAAGTTTTAACCCGTTACCCCTTGTCCTGTCACTACAGTCCCTAATGAAGAGTCCCTCCCCAGCATCCCCATAGGTCCCCTTTCAGATACTGGAAGGCTGCTATGAGGTCTCCACGCAGCCTTCTCTTCTCCAGGCTGAACAGCCCCAACTTCCTCAGCCTGTCTTCATACAGGAGGTGCTCCAGTCCCTGATCATCCTCGTGGCCTCCTCTGGACTTGTTCCAACAGTTCCATGTCCTTTTTATGTTGAAGACACCAGAACTGCACACAGTACTCCAGGTGAGATCTCATGAGCGCAGAGTAAAGGGGCAGGATCACCTCCTTCGACCTGCTGGTCACACTCCTTTTGATGCAGCCCAGGATATGGTTGGCTTTCTGGGCTGCAAGCGCACACTGAAGCCGGCTCATGTTCATTTTCTCATCAACCAACACCCCCAAGTCCTTCTCCACAGGGCTGCTCTGAATCTCTTCTTTGCCCAACCTGTAGCTGTGCCTCGGATTGCTCTGACCCAGGTGTAGGACCTTGCACTTGGCATGGTTAAACTTCATGAGGTTGGCATCAGCCCACCTCACAAGCGTGTCGAGGTCCCTCTGGATGGCATTCCATGGAGAAGATACTGTTCTGGGCTTTCTCAAAGAAAAAACACTTATTGTATTGTCATCAGCGATAAAGGCTCTGCTATGAATTTACGTTGTGCAGGTAGAGTATAAACAAAAGTAGAGTGACATTAAAACTGAACTGTCACATGATGTACCCATTCTGAAGTTGGCATTGTATCTTGAATTAAGTTTGATTATGAAGTGACTTTTGTTGTACAGAGATTTTAATTAGGAACAAAAAAACAGAGAAAAATTAAGAAAGGAAAAGAGATTAAGGGATACAAACAGAAAAGGTAAACTGAGGCAGGTTTACTGGGGCAAAAAAACCTGGCAAAGCACAGAGTATAAGCCCTGCTGTGTTCAAAAATGAAGCCACAGGCTATGAGACTGGCAGTGTGTAGACCGCAAGATGAGGCTATGGACATAAAATTTAATGAAGACAGAAACAAAAAACCCTGCCAGTAAATCTATTAGAATACATATATGTATTTTCCAGGAAGTTTGGGGGATTTTGTAAAGGCAGATAGTCAGGCAAAACCAAATGATAGCACTTTTAACTGCAGATCAGTCTGATGTAGGTGAGTAGCAGCTCAGATCTAAGAATGTCTAAAACTCTCTTTGATGGGGCAGAATTAAAAAATATGTGTGATCTCTGCAAATTATTATCAGCAGATTGTCCCTCTGTACAGCCAGGGCAACTTTTTAACCTTCTGTACCTGTGATGTATGGCTGGGGATCTAAAATGCTGTAGGGAGTTCAGTATTTTAGGTTTAGCTCCACATTAGATTTCTGAATAAAAATTCCACAAAAATTGTTCAGGAACTAGTCAGCAGCTAATAAAGGTGCTTGGTTTTGTTTTTTGAAGCATGCTGCAAAGGTCATATGTAAGTTGACTATCTGGCTGTAGCATGAATGTTTGTTTTGAAAGAGGACTGAGGATCTCCAACAGCAATTGGACACAAAATGTTGCAATAAACTTGTGGTACTAACGGGTTACCTCTCCAGCTAATGCCCTGACTTACCTTTTCCCAGCATGTCTCCCTGTCTGGTACTTGACCATAAAAGAGAAGAAGAAAAGATAAAAGAATGCTTCCTTCTAAATCTCCCTGAACCAGTGATTTTGTCACATGAAATTTGGCATTTTTCTCTAAAACAGCCAAAAAGCTTCTGTTTGCATGTGAAACTTAATGGCAATAATTCAGCTTGATTAGACAGCCTGTTATCCTGACCAGTTTGATTGAATGGGATACAAAGGGTATTATGGTGGAGAAGCATCATCGTTTGGCCTCCTTCACAGCTGCAACACATGATTATTCAGACTCTTTATGCCACAGATGAAAAACGTAACCAGAAACAGATGGGGAGTGAATATTTTTAGAAACAGTATTTCAAAGCATTAACAAGAGGAAGAGAAAAAGAATTCAACTTTGGAGATAAAGAAAACTTTAATCCTGCTCATTAAAGTATATTCAATAGTATTTTTAGAAACATTTTAATTATAAATAATACCATCTCCAGAAATAGTTTTCCTCAGATTCTTCTGTTTCCATTTCCATGTGACTTCTGGCCAAAACCAGTGTAAAATGCAAATTCTTCAATTCAAGTGCAAGTAGCTGCTTTATAATAATATTTTATAGTAATGCACACTGCACAAATCATGTAAAGGTTCTTATTGTTTCTGTTTGTTTATTTTAATTTAGTGTTATTTCTCTAACATTTAATTGTTTTCTATAGAAGCAAATGGAAAACTAGGTCTCTGAGATGTAAGAAGGCTTTTTGACAAGCTTGAAAATCCTAAACATCTCCACAAGTAGCTCACCAGTTAGCTCTTTTCAGTCATCATAGCTTTCCTGTAAGAGGAAATGATCCTTCTCCTCCAAATTATAGTGAGAATGATCAGTTCTGCTTTTCAAGCTGTGTTTATGATAAAGATATTTTTATGAAGAGAGGAATTAATCCTCTAGTTTTCTTGAATATCAACTCTTTAAGTCTTACCCAGAGAGGTGGTGGATGCGCCATCCATGTAGACATCCAGGCCAAGCTGGATGTGGTTCTGGGCAACCTGATCTAGTAGAAGGTGTCCCTGCTCATTGCAGGGGGGTTGGACTAGATGACCTTTGAAAGTCCCTTCCAACGCAAATTATTCTATGATTCTATGATTCTCTGAAGGCAAATATCTCTTTCTAGTAACAAGTCAGTGGTGGAGAGTCATCTTCAGTACCAAGCAGAAGAGTCCTTAGTTTCTAGCTCAGCACTGAGGAAACCCTAATGATGTCAGTGTTGAGTGTTGTTCCAGGCTTCGGAGAGCTAACTTCAGTACCTTCAGTTTCCATCCTACAATTGCAGCATGGATGCAGATGTCGTTTATGTGAGCTAACTTTAGTGAGTATGACATTGTGTCCTATAGGAAGTAAGTTCTTACAGAAATAAAATGTCTTCTTAAATTGTTTTATAGCTTTGGCATAGCCTATCCTTAATTGAATAAAACATTTGACTTGGAAAGTATACATGGTCCTCAAAGAACACTAAAGAAAAGTTGGGTTGCAGGGTTTTTTATGAAACTGAAAGATGATTTTTATTTCTTATTCTTGTGTTGGATAGAGAAAGTTCTGACTCCTTCCCCCGCTTTTAACCTTCAGTTGATTTCTCGCATTGATTGGTGTATTTAAGGTGTTCATGAACTGAGAAGTACATTGTGATTTTTAATGTTTGGCTCCAACAGACACTGTGGCCCAGTGATGTCACCAGCCTTTTCACTTCCACAGTGATTGTTATGTACACAAAACTGACTGCATTTAGATGTCATTTCGAGAACTCACGTCCGTAAGAAGCTCATCACTTTCAACTATTTCTGATTTCAGTGAGGAGCAAGCTCTGAAAGGCTTCAAGTTAGTTACATTACTGAGCTACGACTTCCAAATTGTTATATTTTATGTGTTCTTCCTAACTTCAATATTGTTAAAGAAAACTCTTCCCTTCATTCTAGACCGATCTCATTGCACCTCCTCTGTTTTTCAAGAATCATAGTGATATTTTCTGATTTCTGAGTGCTTGAACACAACTGAGATGTATTAAATGATGTTAAAAATTAAAATGCTAATTTTCTCAGTGTTGGTTGACTTTTCTGTGTTTAGGTATACTGGGAAACTTTACTGTGGTATCTCAGGAGTTGAATGTTCTTTTATTTTGCATATTGAGTGTAATGGAATTGTTATTGGTTACTATTAATTGTTTTACAGTAGGGATTAAAATCCACAGTCAAAAGCTTGACAATCTTTTGTGCTAGAATTCTGCAAAGACATGATTAAATACAACTTATTTCCCAGAAAGGCTCATAAGTAAACTCAAGATACCACCGTGGAGGTAAGCAAGCAAAAGGAAAAGAGCAGGAGCAGGAAAATGAGTGAAACCACAGAAGAATATGGTTAATTGTTATGTTCTGAACCGGATAGAGCTATAAATGCCATTCTTGGTATAAGTGAAGAGATATTATTGAACTGGCAGGGCTCATTTGCACAGGAAAAAATAGTGATGATATATGTATTTTAAAATGGACTTCATCATTGCAGTCTCTTTCATAATAATGTATCTCACCTGTTACCTTTGTTAATTAGTTTGACTACATTGAAGGTGTTTCTAAGTAAATTAAGAAGTAGTGACAGACGGATAAAACCCTATAATCCAGTGTGCTTTTCATTCAGGTACCACACACAAACTGTATCTGCATAACTGAATGCACGTGACATCTGTTTGTGAAGCAACCATTTATTATGCAAACACCACAACTTCATTATATCAAATTTTATTAAATATGTACATGTTATTACTATTTAAAAGAACGAGTATCATTCCAAGATCTGCAAACTTCTCTCTAGCTGTGAGAGCTGAGGCAGAGCCTGTGTTAATGCTAGTTTGAAAGCTGTAAGCTAATGCAGTGTCACTGGAATGACACAGCACCACCTTTGAAGGCAAAACTTCATCAGCTGTATTCTTCAGTTACAATACAATCAAACAACAACAAAAAAATCCTGACAATAATATATTTGTACATGGTTTAAATTTCCCGACTCTGTCCAACTTGTAGGATGGAAGCAAAGAATTCTGTCATGTTTAGGATTCTCAGATTCCGAAGAAGGAAATTCGTACCAGAAACATCTGACGGTAAAGGCCATTTAAAGGCAGAGGAGGGGGCACAGGAAGCAAAGAAAAAGATGCGTCCATCTCCTCTGCTGGTATCCAGCCAGGAGGTCTTAATATGTTTCTTGCTTAGGGTCCCATGGCCTCAGTGAGGATAATGCTTCCTATCAGTGACCCCCCTTCCCATCACCTCTCCACTAAACTGGTAGGTCAGCTTCTTCTTGACCTTCTTCACCTCCCCTGTCTTGCCGTAGTTTCTCAAAGCCCGTGCCATCTTCTGGTAGGTCATTTTCTTGCGGTTGCCTTTCTGGATGCCCCAGCGATGTGCCAATGCTTCTTTGTGTTTGGAGGAGAACTGGAAAGTACCTTTTTCCTTGTCCACCCACCAGATGCTGTCCTTCATGTCTCCACTGCGAAGAAGGTCCAGAAGGAACTGATACAGACGTATCTTCTTCTTGCTGCCTGTGTAAGAGTCAAAGAAGAAAGGCAGTGGAGCACCAGGATTAGCATGTAGCTCCTGCTGAAACAGCAGAAGTACGTAATTCATATGACTGTTTTAGCTAGATAGCTAGCTTTAACTTTTAGTTAGCTAGTCATGTAACTGCTTCTGCTTGCAACGTTTATAACAATAGACAGTGTTTTAGGTGTGAGAGCATAATGTAGCTTGATGTACCGGGCAAAAGAAAGAAGAATTAGGAATTCAAAAGGCCAGGATAATTTGAAGTCACCTGAAAAGCATTCCTAACTTGAAACCATCTGAAGCTAATTTGGCCAGGTTATACAGAGCCTGACTTTCAGGAACTGAACAAACAGAGCTAAATGTTTTTAAAGATCAGTTCCTTGACCTTCTTCCCTTGGATTTCCCATCTGTTAATGAAAATTGCAGTATAAATGGCAAAAGCCATTATCCATTCCAGAAGCTTGAATAGGCAAGGCAGAAGAAGGAAGTGAGAGTACATGAATAAATGGGGTTTGAGATATAGACACAGTTATGGTCATAAAAGATTTTCAGGACTGGAGAGTGCAAGGAATCAGAGAACATGAAGTTTTGGCAGTGGGATAAAATACTATTACAGCAGTTCTGCAGTTTTATTTGCTATCATCACAGTAACATAACAGCTGCTCAGCACATAGCTTGATGCAAGTCCCTCTGTCTTCACTGACCTGTTTCTCCATGCATAATTCCAGGCCCAGGGTCCACACCATCAGTCTCCCCATCTGATACTTCCAGTGGAGGGCTCTGCCTCTCTATGTCCTCTTCATCAGAACTGGGCTGCAGTGGAGAGGAGTACTGTAGGCACATCCGAGGCAAATAGGACATCTTTGGGAGAAAAGAGTAGTAGAGGCAGGAGGTAGTGACAGAGTGGGGCATGGAAAAAGTTACAGAGAAAAGGGAGGAGAAAGTAAGAGATACATGAGATTGTTTAGGGTAATAGTGAGTGATGTAATTGTTAACATTTATAATAAATACTATGCAATAAGAAACTCTTCCACCTAACAGTCAACACTTCTACATGTACAAAGATGCATCTTTACATGAGGGAAAAAGGAATAAAGTTTTGAAAGTCAGAACTTTCCCCTATGTTATATATCCTATGTAAGTGATATTGCCCCTCTTCCTCCAAACATCCCCAAAGCTGGCATTCTTCCTAATGAGTTTCTGATCCCTGTTGCCTATCCTCAGTGTAAAACTGCTTTTGAGAACAACTTTTTTCCTTACACAGACCTTCTGGAACTGCTCTTTTAAGTTTGAAAGAGCTGAACAGTTCTGCCCTTGCATGGCTGCTTTGACTGGTTTTGTCTCTGTTGTCCTCTCCATTTCTCAGGCATAGTACCTTCCAACATCACTGAATCCCCACAGGACTGCATCCAGCTCTGGAGATGAGGTTACATGGGTCTGTCAGCTTCCTGTCCTGAATTTCCCCTGTGAGGAGGCGAATAGCCTTAGCACTAGGGTAAAGGATACATCACATTGGCTCACATTCTGTTTTCCGAAATGGCTATCTGAAAATACCCTGTTAATGGGGATTTCTCATCTGCAAAGCTAGCAAACAAGTTTTTGTGCTAAATTGTCTTGCCCTTTTATAGAGATCTTGTCAGGACAGTGTGGAATATACCTCTGCTTTGTAAATTCTCAGTTCTAGTCTGGTTTGTTAAGGATTGTGACCAGTTCGAATCATAGAATCATAGAATCAGCCAGGTTGGAAAAGACCTTAAAGGTCATCAAGTCCAACCATTCCCCAGCACAGGCAAGGCCACCACTAACCCATGTCACTAAGGGCCTCATCAACACTCCAGGGAGGACGATTCCACCACTGCCTTGGGCAGCCTGTTCCAATGCCTGAGCACCTTTTGGGGAGAATTTGTTCCTAATATGTGTCCTAAACCTCCCCTGGTGCATCTTGAGGCCACTGCCTCTTGTCTTGGGAGAAGAGACTGACCCCCACCTCACTACAACCTCCTGTCAGGCAGTTGTAGAAAACAATAAGGTCCCCTCCGAGCCTTCTCTTCTTCAGACCAAACAACCCCAGTTCCCTCAGCCACTCCTCATAAAACTTATTCTCCAGACCCTTTACCAGCTCCATTGCCATGAACTATTGGAGCTTCTTATTTAAGAACGAGAAACAGATCAGTCTGAGGTACAGGGAGCAAGAACCCAATTCCTACATTAAAAGAAAACCAAACAACACCCTTGAAACCCAGCGGCATATAGAAGGTGGGTTTCATTATGTGGGCCAGATCGATAGCTCTGGAAGGTGAGCTCCTTTTGAACCACTCTTCCTTCCCTCAACCAAGAAAGGATGTCTTGAACCTGACTCTCTTCCCAGGGGACCTTATGCACTGAAGCGGGGAGCGGGTGTCTATGAGTCACACCACCCACCCCATGTCTGGCCTTGCAGAATGGTGCTCTTCAGATGAGTTTTGCACCAGCTGGAAATGTCCCAATAAGGAGTGTGGGCCACGGGCTGGTTTTGGGGTGCAGCGGCTGGCGGTTAATGAGTTGGCACATTGGCTGGAGGCGATCTGGCAGGAAGGCCAGGATTGGGTAAGAGTGTGTGCAAGCTTCCTGTCAGATCCCCAAGAGCGAAACTTCAGCCCTCACCGCAGAATCACCTTTAGCTTTTTACAGTTAAGAAAGCTGCAGCCCCAGGGGTAGGAAGGAAGGGAGAGACAGTGCCATGGGGCAAGGAGAATGAGAAGGTGGGATAATGTCTTACAGTGAGTTTGGTGCCCCTGCGGAGAAAATGGTTGTGGGCACCTAGAGCGCATCATGGGGTGGTGTTGGGAGTAAGGAAACCACTTGTCTGGGGCTGGAAGGAGACAGTGGCAGAGTGCTGTGCAGGAAGGAGGGGGAATGGTGTCTCACCAGCAAAGGGAGTTGCAGAGGCCAAGCTGGGGAGTTGTGTAAGCTTCCCCCACACTGTGCCTACTTTCTCTGCCTGTAGTTTTGCTTACACTTGCTTTGTGCCTAAAACTCAGCTCAGGTCAATACATAGTGTCATGCAGCTATGCTACGGAGGACCTGATAGTGAGTTTGAAAGAGCCAGGTTACTAATGCGGCTCTGGATGGAGAAAGCTTAAAGAACCTGCTAGCTATTTTCTGTATCCTGGTGTCGTCTCAGGGTCTGTGGTATCCATTTGTGATTTTCCTCTTTCTAAAGCTCTTTACAGTTTTCCACCTTTTCTTTCATTCTTCCTTCAGACTGATTTTTCCTTTCTCAATTTATTATGTGGGAGATCACCTGCTGACAGGCTTACACAACTTTTTAAAGAAATCTTGTCCAAGAACAGCTTGAGCCTCAAATTTGATTTCACAAAATAATACGAAATTATCAGCAGATAATTAGAGAAATATCGTTTCAAGTTCTTCCTTTATTCACTGTAACTCTGATATTGCATGACAAGATGGGTGCAGTTAGTAACTGGCAAATTCAGTGGAGGATTAAAGCTTGCTTCCTGCTTCTGCTTCTTTGAAAGTGCCTTGACTAATAGTATCTGTTGCCTAGGACTGTGGCTGAGACTAAGTCTGAACCTCAGAGCATGCCAAATACCACTTGCGTGAGCCACTGTAAGTTAAAGTAAAAAGCCAAAGATCCTCAACTGGTAAAGACAAGGAGGGTAGCGGTGAATTTTACCTATTATCTTCTGCAGTTTGGTACTGGTTGAGGCAGAGAAAGCATAATGCTCTTTATTGAAAGTGGCAACAATATAAATTGTCTGCCTTTTGTCCTGAAATGAAGGGTGATAACTGAGTAGAGTGAAGTGGGACAAGCAGAAGCATGCTCTAGGTTTCTGGTGGTACTTCCAAAGACATCTATAAAGGGCTCTTGTTTATTCTTCGCCTTTGGTTGGAGGTAACGGTTGGTCACTATGTGTTAGCAGTTGCAGTGAGCAACTGAAACAACTTGAAGCTTCCCACAGACTGCTGTTCCATGAAGCATTTTTTATATTTGTAACTTTCTGTTCCTAATTCTTTGTTTGTTTCTACATCTTCTGTTCTATTCCTGATTTTTTTCTGAGTAATAGGTGGCAAGTTTGATGGCTTGCAGTCAGTCAGTTTCCTGTTGACAGCGTTAACTTATTCACTCAATATTTTCTTTGTTTTTGATTAATAGATAATTTCAGTTTGCTTTGAACATAAAAAGCTCAAAATGACAAGTCCATGCATGCAGTTTCCCTCACAAAACTTCAGCAATGGCACCATTATATGCAGCACTGTAACCAGCAAACACTTTTCTCTCTGGCCTCAGTCCTGCTCTGTCTTGTATTCACCACACTGTATATAGCTGCCTGTCTTGGGGTACTCCTTAGCACAAGATCACCTAGCTTCCTTATCACTCCTCGTAATGACTTTGGGCATATTCTTGCAGGATCAAGTTAAAAAGTGATCTCCACACCCACTTCGCTTAGCATCTTTGCAGCATTCATGGAAACCCTCATAATTTCAGGTTTATATGAGGATTCATAGGCACTCTGGTGACTACCTTTACTGCAAAATGGAGTATCTTTTTTACAGGGAAATGACTGGCTTCATGTAAAATCTCAGCAAGACAATGTGGTTTGGCTTGTGACTTCTTTATTTTCAGGCAAAACAGAAGCAGATTGTCCTTAGCCTTTTTCACTGTGGTAAAATTACCAGTGACCTATCTGTATTAGCATTTCTTGTACAGGTCATATAAAATTGTAGGGGTTGCTTGGTAATACTTAAAACTTTCCTACTACTTTGAGGCTCAGAATCCTTCCTAGTAGCCATGGATACCCTTGCTATGATAATACACAGATTCTCAGGTCCAGGTCCTCTTCAGAATTTCAGAACAGTTGATTTTAATTCTAAATGAAATAAAATTTTGACATTTCAAAAACCTCCAGAGAAGGCAATGATCGTTTTAGGCACAGTTTGAGGAACTTGACTCCTTGTTATCCAGATAAAAGGAGTGCTTAAGCCACATTTGTCCTGAGAATGAAGAGTTTTATATCAAGTGCTTGTGTGGTAAGAACTTATGTAATTGATTTCAGCAATCATAGAATCATAGAACAGTTCGAGTTGGAAAGGACCTTAAGATCATCCAGTTCCAACCCCCCTGCCATGGGCAGGGGCTCCTCCCACTAAACCATTTCACCCAAGCCCTGCCTAACCTGGCCTTGAACACTGCCAAGGATGGAGCATTCACAACTTCCTTGGGCAACCCATTCCAGTGCCTCACCACCCTTACAGTAAAGAACTTCTTCCTTATATCCAATCTAAACGTCCCCTGTTTAAGTTTTAACCCGTTACCCCTTGTCCTATCACTACAGTCCCTAATGAAGAGTCCCTCCCCAGCATCCCTATAGGCCCCCTTCAGATACTGGAAAGCTGCTATAAGGTCTCCACACAGCTTTCTCTTCTCCAGGCTGAACAGCCCCAACTTCCTCAGCCTCTCTTCATATGGGAGGTGCTCCAGCCCCCTGATCATCCTCGTGGCCTCCTCTGGACTTGTTCCAACAGTTCCATGTCCTTTTTATGTTGAGGACAAAATCTATTTCACATAAGAGTATGCATTCCCTGATGGGTTATTTTCTTGACCCTTAATGACCATCCTAAATTCTGAGGAAGGGCTGATAACCATACCTGGTGGTTGAGTCCGATGTGTGTGGTTGGGATTGTAGAATCCAAGACATGCATTTGTTCGATTTCCATGTGCCTGTACAGCTGCTGCAGCTGGGGCGGCTGTACACTCTGCAGTTCTGTGAAGTGATTGTCTCCAAAGGTCTCAAACTCACTGTGCATGTGGTGTGGATGGTATTCCCAGTAATGATCTAAAGGAATAACAATAGATGGTCTACATTATAAGATTAAGAAGCATGGCATTTACCTGTCTGGTATCAGTTCCTTCCCCTGTTCTTGTGCTTTCCACCCTCTCCACACCATTCTTGCTGACTTGTCTGTCTCTAGTGACAATCTACATAGATCCCTTCTTTTCCTAATCTCATAAATGCTTGTGGCTGGCCATTTTAACAAGTAGAATACTTTTAGATGGAGAGGTGGATTTGAATGATAATTTAGGATAAAATGTGAAAGATTGAAAGATATTAATGCTGACACCTTTCCCAAGAAGAAAGCATAGCAGACTTACATTTTCCTTCTTGAGGTCACAAATTCTACTGGTTTACATACTGCCATAGTCTCATTGTACTCTTTCTCATGGCATGAGAAATGAGGAGATGCAGCAAATGTACAGACTTCTCTGCAATTATCTTTAGTCCTTATTTTACTTGGCTAGAAAAAAGTAGGAATGCTACAGTAGAGCCACAGCACTTTGTGAGATCGTTCCTCTAAGCACGTGTTGAAATGTCACACGTTTTTCAGTACTAATACAAGAGAATAAACTGTTGCATCACTCCGGTGTACACTGCTTACAGTGAGGCTAAATTCTGACACAGACTCTTTCTCTACCTTTTTTATCTCTTCAGTATGTAGGAAATGTCTGTGATAATTTTTTTCAAATACATAAAAAAATACTCAGATAATGACTTTCCTGTTTTCTGATTTATTTATGTTTAAATTTAAATTCCCTATCATCTTCAGGTTTCAATCTCTGGGTTTTTAAGTTCAATAATAAGCCTCCAACAGTTTTAGAATTTCGTATTTGCTGCTCAAAATTTAAAACCTGCTGGAGGGAATGTGAAGCATTGCAAATCCTGTTTCTCTCTTACAGCAGCTGCATGCATCATTACGTACATATTTGCGTGCACTCTGTTTTGTAAAATCAAAGTCAACCTCACGTCTTCTGCTCTGACTGTGCTAGAAATTAATCTTTCACAGTTTAATTTTTAATGCATCATGTTATGCATGGCCAAAATTTCTTTATGATATTCAGTGTAACAGTTCTAATTTACATTTTACTGTTCCAAGTTGTCTTTCCTTGTGTTACTAGAAATCATTTCTGTTATACCCTTCAAATATTTTCAGCTTGTTATCATTTTGTCTTACAATCTACTCCTAATTATCGCTTCACCCTGCTGCATGTACTTAGCTCTCAGTCTTTCAATATAAATCAGTCTATTCACCCCCCCCAATCATACTTGTTCTCTTCTCCAAGCTCCCAGCTCTTGCCATCCTTCTGATAATGTGATGGACAGAACTGAACACATTATACCAAGTGTTCAGCCTGGAGAAGAGAAGCCTGCTGGACACCTCATAGCAGCCTTCCGGTATCTGAAGGGGGCCTATAGGGATGCTGGGGAGGGACTCTTCATTAGGGACTGTAGTGACAGGACAAGGGGTAACAGGTTCAAACTTAAATAGGGGAAATTTAGATTGGATATAAGGAAGAAGTTCTTTCCTATTAGGGTGGTGAGGCACTGGAATAGGTTTCCCAGGGAGGTTGTGAATGTTCTATCTCTGGCAGTGTTCAAGACCAGGTTGGACGAGGCCTTGGGTGACATGGTTTAGTGTGAGGTGTCCCTGCCCATGGCAGGGGGGTTGGAACTGGATGATCTCAAGGTCCTTTCCAACCCAAACTATTCTATGATTCTACGTGTAGTTGTACTGAGTTTGTAGAGGAACCAATTGTCCAATTCTGCAATATGGTGTTACTGTGTATGGCATTATCTGGATACTAATGCGCTGTGAGCATTTTTTCTTAAATACAAGCTTCATTCTTTCTCTCAGATTCAGTCTCCTCATCCTTCCCAACTTATGTTTCAAACAATTACCTCTAATTCCATTGAGGATTTGAAATCTGGCATAGCGACTTTGAATGTGGCTTCCTTTTGAGAGAACTCGGTGATATGCTTATACCAAACATAGTTGATATGTAATTGGTACCTAAGAATTTGTAAGCTCTTTTAGCTGGCTTTAGGGCTCAGGCCTGTAGAAGCTTATTTGGAGGCTCTATCAGACCATTTTCCTCAGTGCTTACTTTTTTGTCCTTCCTGCTTTTCTGATTCATGGATAAGTCATGTTACTGCATGTGAAAGGGATGGAAAGGTACTTATAAAAGCACATAGGGAGCTGCTGCATTACTTTGTCTTTGCTTTGTTCTATAGTGCTTTTTGTGGCTAGGTATGGATTTTATAGCCCAAAATTATAATTACAATGCACTTCTTCATGTCGTACTGCTAGACAAAAATTTTTTTTTCTCTGGTAAAACAGTAGGGTTTATGGGTGCAAAGTACCCCAGTACTTTTACATTCAGATCTGCCCCAACCCAGGAAATGGCAGAGTGTGTATGTTTGAATCCAAAGGTCATCTAAAGCTGTGTCCTGTAGGAGGCCTTGGGCACTTTCAGTCTGAAACTGTTTTGTTTAAGTGGAAGACTGAGCCACACTAACTTGTTTTTTTCTGAGCTAAATTACTGCAGATTTCTTCAAGTAGAGCCAACCACTGAGGCCCCGTATACTATGGACAACCCTGTATAATAAATTGTTGAGAACACATTGCAGGAGTAATCTATCTCTCATTCTGGCTCTGCTCCTTCCTCCAAAGACCCCTTGCCTTTCATAATCTGGTACAGTCAGAGAGATCAATGCACAACTGTGAGTATGACAAAGCCCAGGCAGAAGTCTCTGAGGCTGTCAATGGCAGGTCTTCAGCTGTGGAATGTCTTACTGGCAGTAACTATGTGATCAAGAAAGAACCCACTGCCCTTCCCACACGCATAGCCATGAGTATCTGTGTGTGCTCTGAGTGTCTACTTCTGATTCTTCTGAAGTATCTTTTTATTAGTACTCATGGATGGGGTTTTGAGCAACCTGCTCTAGTGGAAGGTGTCCCTGCCCATGGCAGGGGGTTGGAACTGGATGATCTTTAAGGTCTCTTCCAACCTAAATCATTCTATGATTCTATGTTTTTATACTCCAATTTTTGAAGCCTATGGCAAGGTTCCTGCTGCCTGCAGAAGTGTTCTTTTAAACTCTTTCTTGGTAAATAAAACACTATATATGCATATTCATGTTAATCACTGTGCTATTTAGCTTAGTCATTACCAAATTCCCTTTTCATGGAACTAGGTGCAGCTGTTAAAATACTACAATAGCATAGTACTAATAGCACAGCATTTAGGGACTTAACAGCAATCACATAATACTAATGCATTACAAAATAAATCTAATTGGCAATTACTTCAACACAAACTTATGCTCAAATATTCAAGCTGTGACAGGAGTTAAAGCCCTTATTTCTTTCTAAATTGCCTGTAATTTTACAGTGATGCTTAGGAAAAACAATATTGGTTTAGTTACATCAAAAGAGAAAATTCTGTCTCCACAAGCCCCTCTGTAGTTAACCAGCCTGGCTATATTATTGCTCATGAAAACATAAAACCCCTCTAAATGTCTGTGACTGCAGTTATTAGAGTTAGCAGCAGCTACTTATTCTATGTTCTTTGTTATGTCAGCAGCACAATAGCCATTCTGTTCTCTCAAAAATGTTAAGGTGAAAGGAATTAAAAAGAAAGGAGAGAAAAATTCTAGAAATGGAAAGTGTCTATTCTTTGGGTAAAGGCAAATTTCATTAAAAGCCAAGATATAGCTACACAATGGAGTCATTATGAGAAATTTCATATGAAGTGAAAGAGGATGTGAAATAAATTCTCTCTTATAGAGACATGGAGATGGTGTTTGTTTTGGTCTTGTATGTAGTGAAAGGTTAGAGGAAGGACAATCATGAACTCTGAGCTCCCTCCCATAGCAGGGAGGATGTTAACCTGTTGGGAAGCAACAGTGGACCTATTGGCATTGTGTTAGTATTTACCACAGAGGTAGATTTTCATTCTACAAGTGAGAAAACATGACTGAACTTTCTCAGTCATCTTTTGACCGATATGAATTGCTTTGCTCCTGTTTTAATAGATGAATAATGTTAGAACCAGCAATTAGAATGTGAAACAGGCTTAAGAAAGGTATTTATAATGAAAGTGGAGTAATAAGCTAGCTCTGCACCACACAGCACAAAACTATGCAGAAATTCATGAGCCAGCTCTTGAACCGGAAACGTGACAGCTCTGTCAGCACAGCACTCTGCCCGGACCAAGGAGACAACTTGTTGACATGGTTGTACTTGTGAGGTCTGAGCTAATATCTCTGAGTGGTTCTGCTCTGGCTGTACAGATTTTCCAACGCATTAGAACTAGGAGAGGGTTTCTTACACAGTGCCCTGTTGCACAGCTTTGATGTTCTCACTGTGTTTCACTCATCTGAGAAAACCTGGGAAAACTGAGGGACGCTGGAAATTTAATGTCTAGATTCCCTACAGATTATTTTCTGTTTAGTGAAATGCTGTGCTCCTAGACAGTGCAGCAGTCTTGTTTGTAATGACAGTAGGCTTTCCTTACTTCTCACTTCACAAACGTCATGATTTTAACAATGCCAAAATATTCAAATTCTGAGTCAGCAAAGCATGAGAATTGGCTTCGAAGTGAGGGGATTTTTAAGTGAAGTTTGGAGTTCTTTCTATTTTCCATATAGCATTTGAGACTAAGGTTCACATGTTTGGACTTTCCTCCACTTCTATGTGGGCTAAAATCCTGAAAATGTCAAAGCTGGGATTCTTAAATGATCATATTACCATGGTGGGATGAAAATAAAATCCCAGATCATGAAATCTGTTCCATGAGGCCAGCAACAAAGTGAACAAGCATCAGCATTCAGCTTCACAAAAAGTGATTTTTACTAAACCCATGAAGTTTAGTAATAACTTAGAGACAAAGCTGCAGTGGAATTTTGTAATTACTAAGATTGCGTTAGTGTTACAAAACAGGTTGTATTACATTTACAGACTTACTAGCATACAGGCTTAGGGTGGGGTGATGGACTAATACCTGATCACTTGTAGTTTCTGTCCTCCTTGGCTGTGTTTCTATGTTTATTACAGTATTTACAAAATGGTTAAACTACAGCATACAAAATAAATGCAACTAATGCATGTTATGATGAACATGTGGATATGTTTATGGTGTGGTTTTGCTTGTTAAATTCACTGTTCACTTATTTGCAATGATCTACAAATTAAATTAATGACACGCTATAGTGTGTACTTCACTGCCTACTCAGGTAAACATGGAGTTAGATTTGCCTTCAGCATTGTGTTCTAGAAAAGCGGCAGTAATGCATGTAGCGCACATCTTCAGATCTTGCCATCTTCCTGTCAAAAAATTAACTTGCTAGCAGTGAGAGAGAGGTAGTCTGACACTTAAGCAAGACCTTCTATTCTGTTAGCAGTCCCTTGTCAGCAAAGTCAGAAGTATTATTCCATTTGTAGTATGTATTTACTTTACCTGGTAGCTTTTCTTTGAAGTCCATACTGGTATTGAGTAGACCTGCAAAATTATGTTTAATTTATTGCCAGTGATCACACTGTACCCCAAACTGAACTTCTCTCTCACAATTCTGTCCTAGTAACTTATTCTTTTATCCTCTCTGAACATATTCTCAGCCCTTTCACTTCACTGGTCCCACTGCTGCACCTTATTTATTCTTTTTCCCCACCATTTTTCAGTCATTGTGCTTTTACCCACATTGTTCTGAACATTTAGTACATACTTCTCAAAGTAGTTTATGATGTCCCTTTCCTGCTCTTCTCCATGGCTCTCCTCAAGACCCACTACTTCTGCCACATTAACAAAATGAAAGCCAAAGTTGAGTTTGTCAATGTTAATAGGAAAGAAGCAAGACATGCTAATTTGTGTTTTTCATTCTCATTTGTATTCTTTGGTTGTTCATTGGTCTTTTGGACTGTGAGCAATTCAGGAATGCAGAGGCTGTATTAGACATTCAGACACAACCAACTACATTACATGTGCTTTCATAAACAAAGATTTGATTGAAATGTGCAGGCTGGGATTAAGTTGCCTCTTTCATAACCACTTGCTGTAGGAGCTAAACCATTGAACAACAAGGTTTTGGGTCTTTAGGACAAGTGCAACACAAGTTTAGGCAGAGTCAAATTTCTGTTCAAAGTGGGTGTTCAAGTACTACTTAGGACATAACCCAAAGAGGCAATTGCAAGTTTTTGTTGTGTTCATTATGATGAATAAAAATGATCAGATCATTCACATAATGATTTTAACATTAACATAATGATCATTAACATAATGGTTAACAAAATGATCTGAGCAGTTTAGCTTAGGAACAGCCTTCCAACAGAAGAAATGGGTACTAAACCAGGTGCGACAATAAGATTATGAAAGATAAAGTGATGTTGTTGCTTGATGTAACCTAGGTTTAGTGACAGAAAAGTTATTTTCCAGTGCTTTTTCCTACATCTTTTACAGTCATTGTTTAATTGTCACAATTGCCTTTTGAGATAATAAACATTATCCTCATTTTATGGGTGTGTAAACAGGTACACGTTATCATGTAAAAACCCTGAATTTCCACGTGGAATTTGCTGGGTTTGATTAATTTGACTTGACAGATGCCATGAGATAACTTGTAACAACTGAATTAATTCTTTGTCTCCAGGTTTTTCTTAAAGGCAATGTAGAGAACAAATTTAGGTAGGAATCTTTTTCAGCTAAATGCTCAGAACAATCGTATTCTGTAACTTGCTCTCCCTCAAGGTAACTTTTGTTTCCACAGATAAAGCAGTGCTATGCTGTGGAGCTGTTAGATCTCTTAAATTAAGCAGTGATGGGTCTAGTTGCTTGATCAGTGGGAGTCTTTTAGGGAAACTCCAGGATCTGAAGGGACTGTCACAAATGATACAGTAGAACGGTGCTTTTCCGTCCTGAGTCAATGTTGACTCTGATATTTCGAGGGCGGTGTTGTTGGACTATTTATTGTATTGCACAGGAGACAAAATTCACCAAGCAAGATTCTCCTGTCTGCAATGATTTAGAGTCCAGTGCACAGATAACATGAAAATATAAAGACAAGAAAGCTTTGAAATCACTGACATAAATTGAAGCAATAAATAATCATACAGTATTTTTATATTAAGCCAGGTTTACTTCTACAAGGAAATTTTACGTAGATTTAGAGAGGGGAAGTACTTGGGTGCACTGGAGGAAGAGTGAAAGTTAAAGCTAGGTGTGGCAGCATGCAAAAGAGATCAAAAGAAAGACAGAAATACATGGAGTTGAAAAAGGAGTTGAAAAAGGCCAAATACCAAAGAAATATAATTAAAATAAAGGCACAAATAGAGTGTTCTAGGGCCTATGTCAAACAGCAATTGGAGATGGGAACACAAGAAAAGAAATACAGTATAACAAACCCAGGCCATGAGAGGGCTCTGAATCATGCAGAGTACTTTTGATCTGCAGGGGTAAGCAAAGCCACAGTGAAGATAATGCAGGATAGAGATCATGAGATTCCACCTTCCTGGCAATGTCCTAGAAGCAACCTGCATCGTTCAGTGCTTTCTAAAATTCTCTTTCAGAGAAACCATGTTGCAGTTCTGGATTGGAAGAGTGCAGTTCAGCAGAATAAAATACTGTTGGTTTATGAACTGAAATTCTGAGCCTATACATTACACATCAGAGCGACGTGTTTGCTCTTCTCCTGAATGTCCTAAAGTGTCTTTCCTGTTGTATCCCATGAGACTTTATGCTCCAAGGAGATATTTTTTTAACTTACCACCGTGACTGTCTCCATCACTGTTGAGATATTGGTAATAGTCATGGGGCTGTCTGTAGAGGTCTGACTCATAGGGTACCATATCTTCAGAGGGCTGCAAAGAGAAGAAGAATTTTTAGAGTTGTAAGATGATACAAACCCCTTCAAAATTATTTATAGTTAGTGAAGGGGAGATGCCAACATATTTAATATTGCCTAGGGAAAGAAGGGGGAGGCTTCAAGTTCTTTTTGAATCAGCAGGAATAAAATGTGTGACACCAAACAGTAGTTTGCAAAAAATAAATGAATAATCCATCTCCTTAGACCCAATCTGTGTGGCACAATTTGTCCCGTGATATTAAACAAGTTCTTGATATCCCACCCTCCAGCCTTCTCTAGGTACTGCTTATAGAGCTGTCTTGGACATCAACCACAAGCCAGGATGCCATCACACCAGCACAGCAAGGAAACCTTCTCTTTGGTAGTGACAGGTATTTGTTATTCCTCCTGTGCACAAAAGAGAAAGTAGAAACTTGTCTTGCCTGAGGATGATTTTCTGAGTGTTTTTAGGAGGTCTGATTAAATGGTGGCAGTTTGTAGGAGAGTAAAGATGTTCACAGGGGCATAAAACCATTTTATTTCTCTTTTTTTTCCCCCAAGATGAACTGTAAATGTTTGCTGGTTCAAATCAGCTGCACAGGGCTGTTAGGTAGGCACAGACAAGACTTAAGGAGTGGGGCAGATATTGAGTCATGACCTATTGAATGCTTAGCTGTAGAATTAAAGTCCTTCCTATCTTAAAACAGGTGACATAGGGTAACTTTCCTGCTTGTCTTCCTTCCCACTCCTAGTACTCCAGTGTTAATGCTCTTTAGCATCTTATGTTGTTTCAATAATGGTGGTCTGTTTATTATTAGTTGTGCACAATTCTCCTGCTTCATTTGATGTTTGTTTTTTTCTTTTTTGAGAAAGAAGCTTTAGAGCAGGGAAATGTCCTTCACAGGACTTTGCTAAGCTTTTGTCCAGTTAAGTTCAATCTGAACAAATTCTTATGGTTTCAACAGTAATGTAGAACTCAAAAGCCCTCTGCTTTGTGTTCTGAAAGGAAATTATTTCTTGTAGGTACTAATAGAAGCATTTTTATTCCATATTGACTTCAGCATAACTGACTTCAAAAGAAAAGGACAAATATTTAAAGCAATACAGTAACTTAAATGATGGGCATATTTTTAATGTTCACCTGTTTATATGTTCATATGTTCATATATCTATCTGTATGTCCCCTCCATAAATCTTTCTCATTATTGGTACACCAGCATTTTGCAAGCTTAGGCTATGGTGACAGCATGCCAGAAATGCAAGTGAGCTTCTCTTTTTCTTCCTCCTCTAGACTACTGGGGAGCCCGACTCCTAAGGCAGCAGCTGCCATTAAAATCCAGATGGAGGTGGTAGATAAGCAGCTGGCAGGAGGAAAAGATTTTTCTTCTGGTGAATAGTACATCAGAGTTACCACTGCTTATTAACTCTGCTGTTAAATTCTAGTTAACTCCTTCAGTTCATTCTGGTGGAATTTGGGGATTTAAATATTGTCCTTTTCTAGGGCTGTGATTTCTAGGATGAAATGGATGAAATCGCATCAAGAAAAAGAGAGACTCATTCTGAGGGGATTAAGGTGTTCATGGGCATCAGATCAGTGGAATATTGAAACCCTCAGGAGCAAATCCATTGCCTGGCTGTCCCCAGTATAATTGGTGGTGGTGGTAATTGTTTTGGAAAACTCCTGAGGAGACAATAATGGACAATAAAGACAATATAAGGGCAAGACTAAGTAAAAGGAGTAATCATCATTTAATTATAGGGATACCAGTGAAGGGACTCATCTTACTTCTGGTCTCCAGAGGACATAAGTGCAGTCTTCTTTTTCAAATCCATAAGATTCCAATAGACTTGCCCTTCATCTACACAAAGATTTAATGGGAAGTATAACTTATTCCCCAAAGGTCAAAGGAGACAGTACAGCATGGATTCTCTCTGATGCTTCCGGTGTTTCTCTACAAATTTTCTTTGTGTTCTTTCTAACCATGACTGGTTTTATATGCATTCACTCATCCCCATTCCTTAGACCAGTGGTGGAATCCAATCTCTGACAAGAAAAAGTATTTCAACTGTGGTTTGCTTTCTTCAGGATAAAGTTCTGACAGGAATGTCTACTCTTTATTATCTTTTCAAATTCATTCACCCCACTCTTCTATTTTCTTTCCATAAATATGTGCTTTCTGATAAATCACGTCAACCTAAAGAATGTATGCAGTTTTTAACCTTCATAACAGAATTGTTAAGTTTTGATAGCCCAAAGGAAAGCATTCATATTCTGAGAAAGGAGAGACCTCAATGTCCAAATGGAAAATGCACATCATACTATTTGGGAGAAATGGAGATTAAAAAAGTTATATAGAAATCATTTCTTTTTAACTAAAATACTAGAATCTGAAATTATTAAAATTTTATATCTAAATGCATCAAAACTTGTGTCTCTGATAAATATTCTGCCAAAAGTAAGCAAATTTCCAAAGAAATTAGTGTCCTGTCAATCTAAGCTTAATTTGCTATGTATAAAATTTCCACTGCTACAACAAAAACTCTGTACAGAAGTATAGCTTGGCAGGAAGGCCAAGCATCAGTCCAAAAGCAGATAAACAATACATATTTGAGGCATGGGAAAGAACATTTGACTTTTCCTAGTTGTGTTCTCCCTTTGTTGTCTCTTCTTCTCTAAGATACTCCAAACCCCTCAATTTCAGTCCAATATACTGTAACAGGCAATGGTTTCTCACAATTTTGGAGCTGAGAATGAAGTATTTCTAACATTCAAAAGGTAGTTTTACAAGTTCAAAGGTGTATTCAATAAGCAGAGCTAGAGGAAGGTGTGTTAAAAAGTGGTTCCCTTAATATTTACAGACCTGGCTGACTGTGGAGTGATTGCAGACACTCAACATCTAAAAACCAGTCTGCTTCTACATAGATCATTGTATTTTTCTAATACCCAGTTTTAAAAGTCTGGGACTTCAAATCGCATTGCTATACATTGTGGGAATTTTCTTCCTTGAATTTGTTTTCTGCTCAGTGACCCATGTGATAGAATATGTACGTGTATATCTTTGCTAACTCATGCAATCTGACTAATCCATCCCCACAAAGGGCTTGAATTGGCACCACTTTACCATCTTGCTGTTGGAGCTTCAGGGGTACAGTAACAAATGTGGGAAGATGTATATTAAACGTTTGAAAGTTTAAGTATCATGAACTTAATCAGATGGTGGCCAAAGGAGATGGTACAGAATGTACCGTCTCTGATTTTCTCTATCCTAGGGGAAAAGGGGATATTTTCCTCTGTTCATTAGAGAAACTATTGCCAAGAACCTGTTTTTAATCTCTCTGTTTTTTATTAAAAGCTTTTTCTCTAGTTTGAGAGAATAGGTTTCACCATGTGCTGCTGCTGCCTCTTGTACCAATCTTTGCCCACTTGCCCCATCCTCTGGAACCTCCCCACCCACACACCCATTTCATCATCTTACTAGTAGCACTTCCATGACACTGAACTGTTTTGTTTCCCCTGACAAAAAACACAGAATGGCTTATGTTACAACTTAATATTTAACTGATATCAATGGCCATTTGTTCTGTCAACTGTTTTCATCTAAGACAGTGAGAGAAAGCTTTGGTATTCATAGCTGCGGTCTGAAGTTGATATCTCCTTTTGTACATGCCATGAGGTACAGCACATTATCTAAAACCATATTCCAACCTCAAGCAAAAGGTCAACAAACAATGCTTTATCTGTCGCAGACTTTGGTAAATGAAGATTTACCACCATCTTCCTTCTTTGCATTGAAAATCAAGGGAAAAGCCACAAAACCACTTGGAGAAGGTTTGGCTGACATTGGTTAAAAGAGATACAGGGGACTTAACTGAATAGCAATTTGAAAATTCTTGTTATTCACCAAGACTTTGTCAGATGATTCCAGGTGATTGTAAATTCACTAAAAGCTGATCTTTTTTTGTTATCCTAACATAACTATTCACTGGCATGTGATTCAGAATTACTCCACACAGTTTCCAGTGATGTGCTGCTGAGACAAGTTTGAAGGCCCAGATTAACCATATTTCCTTGGAAAAAAATTGCAGTATAACTATTTCAGAAAAGATGAGTAAGGGTATTAGCATAATCACCCACTGGGGCTGCCTCACTGGACCATGCTGCCAATGCAGTTATGTGGAACAGAGCTTTCCGTGAGGCATTTTTGTTCTCATATGAATATACTTCTATTTGAAGCTGTGATTTCTACAGGTGGCTACTTAGGGATTCACATATAACTGGGGCCCTTTTTAGGCAAAGTTGTTTGACTTCATAATTTTTGGCTCTGTAGCACGATTAGATTCTGTCATGCGCTGAAAAACATGGGCCCAGTTTGCAAACCTTTTCCATATGAAAGTCCTGATCTTCAGAGAAAGATGCAATACTCTTAGACCATTTAAACCAGCAGTGTTTTCCAAATGGAGGATAAGAGTTTCCTCACACAGTCAAGAGAAAGGCAGTTACTGAACCACCCTCAACTGAAAGAGGAGGGGCAGAGGAGGGAAGTATTGCTTCACAGAACCCCCTGTCTAGAAACGGGCTTATGGCTCCCCTCTAAAAAAGTCCCAGGAGGCACAGACATTTAGAACAAAGCTGTGTGGGGCTCTAACTTGCAGTGCTCAAAGTGCACTTAAAACAGTTTTGAAAATACGAAACACAAATGATTAATCATGGGACACTTTAATCACAAAAATAAAGAACAAATTGCCCTGTCAAGTGCTCCTGGAGGACACAATTGTATTTTCATTGCCTGTTGTATCATTCATCTGAACAGAATCCCAGCCAGAGTATTAACTGCAACACAAATTATGGGCCAGGCTGTGTTAAATTTTCACTCCATTTATCCCATGTGTGTACCGGAATTCAATACTGAAAAAAAGAGAGTCCAGAAAACTTGGCTATGAATGAATGAGTGGACAGAAAATTAACAATTATTTACTCTTTTTAAACAGAGATGCTGGCTTCTGGGGTAGTTGAGGACAAGGTTTGGGTTTCTTTTGAAATTTATTTTAAGTCCAACACGTAACATACTGAGAAATCGCTGTGTACTTTTTTCATTTTCTCAGTTTCTTTTCAGCTTTCTGTCCTGAGGCGTTTACAGCAGAGTCATTGGGCAATTCGGTGAATTAAAGCGAAAAAAAAAGAGGAAAGATTTTTAGGGTCTTCTCCCCCTTTGGATGGATGTGAGCTTTCAGGGACACTGATGGTGAACTGCTCGAATAAAGGGTCTCCCGAAAAGAAGACATATTTTCAGCAAGCATGGATACCAAACATGAAAGGAACTCAAGGGGCTATCTCTCTGGGTGGAAGATAAGGAAACACGTCCTTAGCCCTAGCAAGGACATGTCTTTTTGTCCTTAGCAAGACAAAAAGAAGACTTGATACAAGTCTTGTTAAAAGGACTCTTGGATCTTCATTGTCCTTTTCTGTTTTCTGAACACAGACAGCAATTACTGTAGGTAGTCTACCTACCACATAAAAAGCCAAGTAAAACACCTTATCTGACATCTCTTCAGCTTCTACAAACTTCATACAATCTAATTAGGGCCTCTTTTACCCAGTCTGTTTAGAGATTTCCCATTCAGGTTTGATTCTGAAGAACAGGTTAGTGACATTATGTGCTTCATAAACTACTTCCAAACTCACCATACAATAAACTACAGCAGTGTAACAATGTTTTAGAGTTAAAGAAAGGATAAGCACAGCCTCGTAACACACAGAAAAGTTTGTATCTTAGAGAGCACATTGAAAGACCCACTTAAACCCTGCGGATTTTTAACTCTCATTCAACTATTGGTTTTTCATAGCAAGTGATGGTTTTTCATAGTAAGTTACAGACTTAGATGCCACCACTACAAAGAGCAGAGAGTCCTAAAATCTGCAATATGTAAAATCAGCATTCAGCAACTCTTCTCTCACAGACTGGTAGATAGTCAAACACACAAGCTATGTCAGAGACTCCAGATTATTAAGAATTACAATCTGAAGAAAGACTCGGCCTTATGTCACAAAGTTGGCACTAAAGGAAAAGCTGTACTGACTTGCTATGTGCATACTGTACAACAATACCATGCATTTAATCTGTGAAAACAAATGGAGATCAAAAATCAGATACAAGTTTTGGGAGGAAATGTTAATTTCCCATTCATTGCAGTGCTGTCACTGGCTGTATATATTGACCTAAACCCAACTTCCTGGCATTACAAATACAGACCAAACCAGAGATATTCTCAAATAATAAACCTGGTTTACTTTGCCTTTCACTACTGATCCCAATGATCAATATTAGGAATAAACCTCATATACTCACAGGGGGAATGAGGGGAAATCCTTCCATTTTGCAAGCTTGCAACATTCAGCCAACTTCGGAGTGAATTTTTCTTAATTCAGTTTTCAAACATCCAGAAAAACTGACTTGAAGCAATCACATGAAACAAACAAAAACGAAAAAGGAAAAAAAGAAAAAATAAAGCGAGATCCTTGGACTCTGTGAAGTCCTTTTGCTGTGATGGATCTCGGGATAGGAGAAGGACCCTAACAAGTTCTTATTCTTTGCCCTAATAGTTTCTGAGGTGAACTTCCTGAGCTGTGTGTGAAGTTCCTGATTTTATTAAATGTCTGTAGAAGGGAGATAGCCCGTGGGTCTATCAGGGGCTGTGACATCACAGCCTTGAGCCAGTTTGCATAAATCTCATTGCAGAGTTGCGGCGCTGGAAGAGGAAGTCTGCCCTAAGCCATGGGCAGGTGCTTACTGTATAATCAGCAACCCAGAGCCTGGGCCTGCTACCAATAAACAAGCACATGGGTGCAGCGCTCTGGGGAAGACTCTGTGTTTCCCACTGTAGATGAACCAGAACAATGGGGCTGCTCTCTGTTTTAATAGAGGTACCATAAAGAGACAGTCCTGACAGCTTCTGTGAGGACAGGGCAGTGGCATAGACTTGCTTTGATAATAGTCCTGTGTTGGAATTGGGTGGCAATACTTAGCAGAAAGTTAAAAGTGTATAGTTTCAAACATACAGTCCTAGGTTTCCAAAAAAAATCCTGATACTAAGCCCGTGAGACTTTCCTCATAAACTTTGCAATAGAGCAAAATTATTTAGTGAAAGAAACTTAGTCCTTTGTTTTTTGTGATCTCTTTTCTTTTCTAGCTCGTGCAAGGAGAAAATGAGTGGGGAAACAGAGAATGTATTACATGTCCCATGCAATGACTTGACATCTTTCAGATCCTGACTGCCTTTAACAGTAGAGAGCAAGATTTGTAGAGTTGTATCTAAACAGTGAGGTGCTGAAATTTCTCGTAGAGATTTTGTGTTAGCTCTTCTCACGTGGTGTTCTCCCCAGACTTTATCCCACTGTTTTCCTTGCATTTGGCTGCATTGAACAAATGCCTTTTATACTGAGGTTCTGGCAGGGGTAATTGATCTGTGGGGGAGAATGTAGAGGATGGGGTGTTGCTACAAAGGGAGAACATTCTCATTCTGCAAAATGCCTTCTTGCTTCACAGTTAGATACTAATGCCTTGGAAAAAGCGAAGTTGCTTTGTCTGGGCTGTTCCCCTCCAATCTATGCCTATGTGCCACAGGTTCTGCTTTTGAAAGTAGCCTGTTCACCACTCACCTGGGTGTATGGGTGAGGGGGAATTTCAGCCACTAGAGACTTCCTTGTACACTGGTAAAACCAGAGGCTGCTCACAAGCTCCTCTCATTCCTCACCCTAAAGGAACTCAGCAAGCAAACCATATTGGCAATGGGGTAAGATCAAGAACATGATGGGAGATTAACTCACCAGCATCAGTTGATACATAAGCATTTCATTCTTATTTTATTCATACCATGAAATCTTGACTTTAACCTAGAAATAAGCAAGCTGCTAAACAGTCCACTTCTGGTGGTTGAGATGGCTCTCAAGTCTCCTCTCGGATACCAGCCTGGTAGTGATCAGAACCACCCTGGGGGAAAGGAGAGAAGCAAAGTACAGTCCTGATGATAAAATTCAGTGCAAACAGAGGACAAGGGAGTGAACAATAGCATACACAAATCTCAAAGTGGGTATTAGATAGGTGATAAAAGTAATTGTGGAAATTGTGTCTCTATTAAAAAGGCTATTCAGAACAAAGAAGATACGGTTTCTGATTCATCGTACTGAAAGATAGCTTGAGCAGCTACCGGGAGGTTTAAAAGCGTAGTGTTTTACACAGAGAGGCTTCTATTAAAGTGGAATGCAACTATATTTCATATGTTAGAGGATATTTCTGCACTGTCTCTTAGCACAGGAAATTACCTAATAAGGATAGATATATTGCACCAGCCTTACTGCACTCAGGGAATGCTAGATTGCCACCATTATCAACCAGGTTTAACATGGGAGTAATCATGAGTGCACCGTGGTTGTCAAGATGAAGAATGAAATTGGTTCTCTATAGGATGAGCTAGAACCAAAGAATGTACCATAAAGCTTGAGCACCAGCAGGAGGTCCAGAAGTTTAATAAGCTTCCTAAGAAGGAGAGTTATTTCTATAAGTAGAAATGCTAAAACTGAAATAAATTGCTTGTTTACAGTATCATATTTGTATAGGAACATTCCTAGTAACAATCTTGCTAAAACTCAACATAGATTACTTTCTTACTGTTGCATATAGGGTGGTTTACCCTATGTTTGTAATCACAGAATCTTCTTACTCCTAAAGGAAGGCCTACTAGAGATGATGCTTCTGGCCCAGAACATTGCAGTACCTTATTAGATGACTTACATGCTGAAAACAGAGGAAGTTATCAAATGATTGTATAGTAGAGAACTGATTTCCAGAGGCATATGATGTGAACGTTTTCATATGTGTGAAAACGTTTAAAATTCGTATTAATCTGTGAGATTTTCTGTATAAGCATCACCTCACTGTGTGCAGTTTATTGAAACAGCTCTTCCCCTACCTTTACCCATTTATTCTTCAAGCTACTTCTAACCACAAGCTACCAAAGCAAAAGGGTTTCAACTCACAGCCACATCACAGAGAGGTCGCACTACCTCAAACCTTGTTTGGTGTTCAGAAGGTAATTTTTCGCCCTGCTAAAACCACATACAACATCACCCATCCTGAAGTCTTTAAATCAGAAGCAGGTGTTTACTGTTCTGCTACTGAGTTTTCTTGTAGCAGTAAGACAAGAACTCTAAGCAAGGATTCCCTTATATGTTCCATATTCTTCCCAGAGCTATGTTTTCCATTGAACTTGTTTTATGCTCAGGTAATAGGGTTTATGGGTCTCGTACACTGTCCTTTAACACTGAATATCCATTCAGACGACATGCCCTCTTCTCTTAAGAGAGCCTATGGGTCTCTCCAGCTGTGGAAATGGGGGGTCTGGAGCTCTTGAGCACAATCCTCTACATTTAACTCTTTGTTACGTAGGCTACTGAGTTGAAGAGTTGAGACATCTTTGTTACATTTTTCCATAATGAGAGGGTAAGAGCCCAGAAATGGCTGCTGGAAGCTACTGGCTGAGAAGAATTTGTTACCACTTTTTCTCATGTGGAGCATCACCTTAGGATCCTTAACAGACTGAATGCAGACCTCACTGAAATATGTGCTCCCTTTTCCACTGTTATACATTATCAGTCACTGATGCACCCTTGTGATACCCACAGGTTTATTACCACGGCTACAGTTGAACAAAGACTTCCTCACTAGGTGGGCATCCCCACCTAGAGTTGATGAAGTTCCTAGTGGCAAAAAAAGTGCTTTTGACAGTCCAGCTTTCAAGATTTCCTGAGTTTTATGTAACAGCATCTCTATAAGGACTTTTGCCAGTGGGAAATGTCATTAAAATATCATAATCTTAACTAACTTTGCTATATTGACAAAGATTTTCAAGCTTAGACTAGATTAAATCCATATCAGAATGAAGATACCTATTTTCATTGGGATGAAGAGGAATAATTTGAGTCAGTAGTAATCCAGAAAGCCTCATGGAATTTTTAAGAATCATTATGGTCTACAACCACTTTTAGAAATAAAAGCACTTATTTCTCATTTTGTTAGTAGCTTTGAGGCTGTCCATAAAGCTGAATTCAGCAAAGAAGAAAATGTCCCTTTGGAAATTTATTTGGCTTCAAGATCTGTTTACATCTCAGCTACATTTTATAATCTACTGGGAAAAACTTAGTTTGGCTTTAAGGCATTTTCAAATAGCTGTAAGATTTGATGCCAGTTTTTAATGATCTGCATTCTGCAGGCAACAGATTTTCAGTTTACACATTCCTGCTCATTTGTAGTCATCCAAACTCTCGTACCATTTCAAGCAAATGACATGGAAAAGTGCTCTAATACCATCTATTCTTGAAGTCTATATCCAATCTACCATTAGCACCAGTAAGATGCAAGCAGTATAGTCTACCACCCCTTCACAGACTTGTGCCTTCAACCTACAGTCCTAGTTGTGGGTGTCTCCCACTCATACCACCCCCACCCCACCCCCCACCCCAATCAGATACCTTAATAGTGAAAATTAAGGTAGAAGAATAAGTTGCATCTGAGATATGACTTCAGAAGAGCATTATCTGTAGAGAAAAAGGTTGTCGATGAAGGCTCAACAACCAGTCTGGTTTTCTTTTAGGGGGTGTCACTTCAGACTGTCTCTAGTCTGATGCCATGGACTGAATTCCCACTTACAGCTAGTCCTGAGCCCCACCTTCAGTTTCATATGAAAAGAATCCAGTTTATGTGCTCTAATACTGCTATGTGGTTCAAATTTAAGCACAGTAAGTGGGGAGGATCATGAGATTAATTTTAGAAGTGCACTTATGATCTGAACTAAATTGTTAATCTGCACCCACCCTTAGAGAAGATTCTTCCCTTGGCTCTGTAGTGACCTCCACCAAGCTGTGTCTGCTGTATGGGCCTATAGGGATGCTGGGGAGGGACTCTTCATTAGGGACTGTAGTGACAGGACAAGGGGTAACGGGTTAAAACTTAAACAGGGGAAGTTTAGATTGGATATAAGGAGGAAATTCTTTCCTGTTAGGGTGGTGAGGCACTGGAATAGGTTGTCCAGGGAGGTTGTGAATGCTCCATCCCTGGCAGTGTTCAAGACCAGGTTGGACGAGGCCTTGGGTGATATGGTTTAGTGTGAGGTGTCCCTGCCCACAGCAGGGGGTTGGAACTGGATGATCTTAAGGTCCTTTCCAACCCTAACTATTCTATAATTCTATGATTAAGGCAGCAGTTGTTTCTGAGAGTGCAGCTAAGAAGAAGTCTTGCTCTCCTAATGTAAATAATATTTTCCAGACTTGCATCTTAGTAGAATTATATCTCTTAGTAAGGTCTCAGAATTGTAAAGAGAAAACCACTATTCACAGGTAAACATATCTTTAGGTAGCTGGTGGGTTTACAGCTGCCCTTCCTGTTCTCTGCCACCACTTTCACAAGGACTTTGTGTCTGGAATGTTGTATAAACAGAGGAACTGAAGCACTAGAAGCCAATGTTCTTTATACATCCTCACAGTAGATGTTTGGCTGTATAAGAGCTGAAGCATGCAAGCGAGCCTCATGTCAGAGCTTTATGTGTGCAACTAAGACAAGTGTTTATGACACACTGGAATATCTTATCTATAGAAGGTTTTTTCTTACAGAAGTAA